AAATACGTAACTTTGAAAACAAAAATCTGCTTTTTTTTTTTTGGGTGCCCCCTTGTTCGTATATGTATGTATTTTGAAATTCCTAAGTTAGCATTGTGAAAATTTTGTTGGCTATTCTATTGTGGTCTTCTTCTCTCAGCTCCACTCCTCAGAAGCAACTAGTTTCTGTGTATTCTTCCCAAACTAAGCCATGCTGCTAAAAGCATCTATGTATAAATATGCTCTTAAGAACACACATACACACACACACACACTCTCACACACACACACCCAGTATACACTTGTGTATAAACCAAGTTGTTCAACACATTTTTAATTCAGTTCGTGTGGCAAAATTAGGTGCCTCAGCTGATAATTGGGTTAGCTTATACTCGAGTATATACAGTATATATGTCATGTCATACACAATATTCTGCATCTTTTATGTAAGCGTGGTTTCATTCTTGACAAGGACTTTACTGCAGGTAACCTAAATCGTTAAATTTTAATAAAAATAGGAAAAGTGATAATTATGAAAACACTGCATTGTTAGCTAATATAATTAGAATAGAATAGAATTATCTGATTGTGAGTCTGACTTTCATGTTTTCCCAAAGTTCTTTGGGTCAAAATTATATAGTCATTCTTTAAGAATGAAATTCTAGTGTTTTCAAATGTTAGTAAGCTACAAAAGTGATCTTCTGATTGAGTATACATTGAGGCCTCATCAAACATAATTATTCTATCATATAGCCTCATACACATGTGACAGTTGGACATTGAATAAAAAAAACAAAGAAGAATCAATGTGTTTGAATTATAGTGCTGGTGAAGAATACTGAAAGTACTATGTACTACCAAAAAACAAGCAAATCTGTCTTGGAAGAAGTACAGCCAGAATGCTCCTCAGAGGCCAGCATGGTGAGACTTCATCTCACGTACTTTGGGTATGTTATCTGGAGAGGCCAGACCCTGAAAAAAGGATTTCATGCTTGGTACAGAGGCAGTGACAAAGAGGAAGGCCCTTGAGAAGATGGATTGACACTGTGGCTGCAACAATGGGTTCAAACATAAGAACAATCGTGAGGACAGGGTAGGACTTAGTGGCTCTTAGTTCTGTTGTGCATAGGATCACTGTGATTCAGCACTAGCTGGAAGGCACCTAAAACAGCCAAGTAAAACGGAAATTAGGAACATTGTAGGGATGTGGTTAAGTTACCATGATTATTTTAAGGTTAACAACCTCAGTGGTGATTCCGTGTCTTGCAGTGAGTGACATTACTATCGAGAAAAACTGGAAAGTATTAACTCTTTGATGGATGAAAACCATAAGGGTCATAAGAAGCGGTGCAAGAGCAAAAACTTTTGCTCCCTTTTCTTTTCTCTTAATTTTTAGTTTTATTTTTCTCCCTTTTCATATAAATAAATCTTTGATTTTGCAACACTTTAGCAGGCTCCTTAAATTTCACATTAGTGCATTTCAAGATCTATCCCGGCTTTTACAGCAGTAGTACAGTCCCCAGTTTCAAACGCACATGTGTGGGTTTGCTGCACTGGGTTGCTGTTATGCTGGAAGCTTATGTCACTGGGATGTCACACCAGCAGAGTCACCCACGGTGAGAAAGTTTTCAGTGGCGCTTCCATACTGGGGACAAACTGCAAAGAAAGAAATAGGTTATCCTCTTCTGAGGGACAAGCCCCTGAAAACCTTATGAATACCACTGGGACATTGTCAGAGCGCAGGAAGATGAGCCCCTCAGAACGCTTAAAGTACTACTGAGGAAGAACTGCCTCCTGAAAGTAGTGTCTATCATAATGACTTAGTGCCTGCAATCAGGGTCCACAAAGGACACCTGCCCCAGTGAAGGAGGCACTCTATTCCTCTCCTCCCCTCAGCCTTTCAGGGTCTGTATTTCTGTTTACTACCCCAGTCCTCTGTTTCCTTTATTTAAAAAAAGCACTGTCACAGGTGTCTACTTAATTGTGTTATATAGTCTGTCCTCAGCCCCCTTCATAATTACTTGAAGAATTTGACACTTTAGTGATGCTTTTGCTTCAGGGAACTGACTTTTTATGTGTAATTACTTTCAGAACCAGTTGAGGCACATAAAAAAATCAGTTTGATTACTTCAGAGACAGCCTTTGTTGTATAGCTGTAGCAGATATTTGATTTGTTAGACTCCCAAGCACTAGATTCTCTTATCAATAGGCACCTTTATTTATTTATTTATTTATTTATTTATTTAAAAGATCATTTTATTAGGGGCTCATACAACTCTTATCACAATCCATACACACATCAGTTGTGTAAAGCGCATTTGTACATTCATTGCCCTCATCATTCTCAAAACATTTCCTCTCCACTTAAACCCCCGGCATTAGGTCCTCATTTTTCCCCTCCCTCCCTGCTCCCCCCTCCCTCATGAGCCCTTGATAATTTATAAATTGTTATCAATAGGCACTTTTAAATGATCAATTAGAGTGAACATTTTTCTGTTTTTGTGTGATTTGACTTGCGAAATGTAGAGTTGGGTCATTTAATTGTCATATATATCAATTCAACAAATGACCAGTGGATGATAATAGTCTTCTCTTTGCTTTTCTTAAAGTACATTGACTCACAAACAACTCATATTTTGACTAAATTGGCTTACTCTTATACAAGAATATAATACATATTTAGGTTACATTTTAGCGATGTTTACTAATTTACTTTAAACATTTCTTTAATATGACCAGGTTTCAAATCATCGAGGTGTTTGTGAAAGTCTGTCTCCTGATCAAATCTTCACAGAGCATGGGGTTCCTTCTCTTGTCTTAATGTTAGAGTAACTGACTGCATTTCTTTTCCTATGAGAGATAAAGACAAATGAAGTGTAATGTGTAATTGGCAGAAAAGCATGAATATTAGATTAGCGTATGCCTAAATTTTTATCCCTTCCTTGTTATTTCCTAATTGTGTGAATTTGAACAAGTTAGTACACTCTTCATTCTGTCAGTTTCCTCATAAAAAATAGGGGCCTACTTCCAAATTTATAAATATTTATATGGGAATTATAATATGTTTCATATACTTAGTGCTAATTCATTTTCTTATTTGTTTTTTAATCTTCATGTATTGCTGATTTTCTAAGTAGTCACTCTAGCATGGTGGCTAAAAAGTTTAATTTAGGATTAGCTTGCCATTTATTTTAGTAAATACAGCATTTGCTCCATTGCAGAAGTATTTGAGAAAAGAATAATTTGAACATTATAAATCGAATCTAATGCAGTATCTTGAAGCTTACTTTCCGTAACTTGCACTTAACATTTCTGTAAAATTGGTCTTTTTTTATCTTCATTCACAGGTACAGGAACCTTAAAGATAGATTTTGTTGGAGAGCTGAATGACAAAATGAAAGGTTTCTATCGGAGTAAATATACCACCCCTTCTGGAGAGGTGCGCTACGCTGCTGTCACGCAGTTTGAGGTATGGCTTATTTGTCTCAAATACTGCCCTTCTCGAATCTCAGCATTGTGAGAAAGGCTGGCATTGGTTGCAGGGATTGTTATTTTGTTGTTTGGGATTATTATTTCAAGTGAGACTTTTTAGCCATGGTTATTATCATAATTTTGGAATTTGTACTTTATATTCAGCTAAGTTATATCCTTCTCTAGGAAAGAGAGAATGAGGGTGCAGGTTAGGAACTAAGTATATACAGGCATTTAGACAGAATTTAATTATCTGGATTGCTTTTATACTATGAACTGTTAAAATTGTAATTATTCATTAGAATAATTCTTTTATTGACATCCCTGACTTTTCATAATTTAATACTAATGCTGATATATAGCATTCCTTTGGTTTGATATTTCTTGTATCTTACTATATCACCTTTGTTTTCTTTGATTTTTTAATTTCTAGCCCTTGCAAGTTATAAAACTAGTTTAAAATCTAATTGTGGTGCTTTTAAGTGTTACAACTACTTAGATTTCTTTCTGTAATTTTCAATGTGGATAGCAATTCACATGGAAACAACTGATGGCACCTATGCCCAGATCCCTGGTTTGTTTGTTTGACATGGCCTTGAACTTTAGATTGTTTTTACTACTTGAGTATTTTCCTTTCAAGGATTTTATTTTATTTGCTTTATGTTTTATATTACTTTTATTGTGTTTTAGCTGACAGTTGACACAGGAAAGTTCCCCTGTCAAAACTTGTATATAAAGTGTCCATGACACCGGGTGTTTTCACACACTGTGTGTCAGCACTTTCCTCATTTCTACCCTGGGTTCCCCATTTCCTTTTGTCTGTTTTTCTCCTTCCTATTTTGTCATCTTTGCTTTGGGGCAAATACTATCCTTTTGATGTCTTCTAATTGATCTAAGGAACACATTCCCCGTGAAGGTTACTGGTTTTAAAGTGAGGGCTTGTTAACTATTTTTTTCTTAATGGAGGTGCAGTGAGCTAAGCATTGGATTAATAACCAAGAGTGGTGGTTGGACCCACCAGCCACTGTGAGGGAGAAAGATGAGGCTGTGTGCTTCCATAAAGATTGACAGTCTCAGACAGAACTGACTCGACAACGATGGTGGTGGTGCTGGTGTGTCCTCACATCAGAAGGCTCTCTTTGGTTTCCTTCTGTTTTAAAATTATTGTTAGATAGGGTTAATTGAGACTATCCACTTGTAAGCATTTCTGAAAGCATTCTCTAGAGCTCCTGTTCTCAACCTGTGAGTCGTGACCCCTTTGGGGGTTGGATGACCCTTTCACAGGTGTCACCAGATTCATAACAGTACCAAAATGATAGTGATGAAGTAGCAATGAAAATAATTTTATGGTTGGGGGTCACCAACACATGAAGAACTGTATTTAAGGGTCGTGGCGTTAGGAAGGTTGAGAACCACTGCTCTAGAGTGAATCCCTGCTATCTTGGTCTTCCCTCAAAATCACCCAAACAGAAACTAAATTGAATAATAGTTTTTAAAACATCTTTTCATAGGAGATACTCCATTGTTATATGATCTCACTTACAAATTATAGACTCAACTTGTTCAACTGTATAGTTACTGTTGAAAAGCTTTTGGCATCTCATTTTGTTAAGGTAATAGTCATAGCTATAATATTTTTTTTCTCGTAGGTAACATAACTTTGTCGTCATCCCCCCCCGTTATTTATAAAATTATTTGACCCTGAAAATTGTAAATATTTTATTAGATTTTTTATTGTTTTGCATAATTGACATTTTCAGGTTCCGTTCTGTCCTTATTATTTTTTTTTAAGTTTTTCTTTTTCTTTTTTTTTCTAATCATTTTATTAGGGGCT